GCTAAATAAATAAAAAATAAATTTTTGAGTCTAGACGTGAGAAATTAGAAAAGAGTACATACCTCTACTTATTAATGCAAGAAACGTTTTTAATTGAGAGAGAGGTGGCTTTTAAAAGTGATATCTTATATTTAAGTTTGACCTAGACTTATTTTTTTATTGTTTTTACTCAACATTCACTAATTGTTTTTTTCACCCTGAAAATTTATAAAGCAGCGGCTCCTGTGAACTTAGATCACTTCTTATTTGAAAAATCACCTGTATCAAATAGCAGCTTTACTAGTGAATCAAAAAAATAAGAAAAAATTGTATTTTATACGCAGTTTTTAATCCTTTTCTCTCTCTCTCTCTCTCTCTCTCTCTCTCTCTCTCTTGTCTTTCTGTCTTTCTTTCTTTCTGTCTCTCTGTCGTTCTGTTTTTTGTTGTTGTTGTGTTTTTTTTCGGTTTTTGTTTGTTTGTTTGTTGTTGTTTTTCGTGTTTTGTTGTTGTTTTGTTGTTGTTGTTGTTGTTGTTGTTGTTGTTTTAATCGTTAAATAAATGCTAAGTCAAATATATATTTTACCACTACGGAACTTACCCGTAAGAAGCTGTCTTTTTTCAGTTGAAGAAAGTATTGTTTGAACAAATAACAAAGTCCCTGTCCACACTCATGTAGATGATTTTGAAAATTGTAAACAGAACGTTGGAAGGTGAACGGAATTTTAGTCGACGCTTAGCGTTTTCGAATCGTTTTCACCCGTCCACAAGTTTCCTTTCTGTGCCAATATCCGGATATATATGTTTGGAAAGAGCCAAAATCTCCCTAGGCGAGTATTATAGACTGTCAATCGTGATATACTGTAGTTGGATGAAGATAAACGTCTTAATATTCACCGAATAAGTTGTTAGAAATTATTTGGTAAATCTAGATTTTCTTCAAAGATTTACGTACCCGAAGGTCGTTCGCGTTGGACCAACAGAATAGAAAGAGATAGGAGAGAATAGATGTTAAATAAATAATGGTAATACTAGTTCTGTGTCTGATCAATGTGATTCATTAATTCCGTGTGATTTTTACTGCACTATGAGTTTTGTTGACGGCTTGGCCCGCATATATTGACGCAACACTTTTGCATTGAATTTTTTTWAAATAGGAATCTGCTTCCATTGAGATCAAAATATATTGATGGAAAATGTTATAAGTTGAACAGAATCAACGAAAATTCGCTCTTCGGAAAATTAGTCAAAACGAAGCACAAAAAGTTTACTTGAGATGACTTGAAAAAGGCATAAAAAAACATACGGAAATAAAGGAAAATGATCGATGAGATAGAGAAGAAAAAATCAATGTAATGTAAAAAATATACAGGAGCTTGTTTAGACTCTTATAAAGTAATTAAACGCGAAGCCTAGAGGCGAAAACCCGTAAGGTTAACGCCCACGAGTTAAATGATCAAATAAGAAAATAGAAAAGAGGGTAAATTAGGACAAAATGAGCAACCAATCAACATAAATGCTGATAAAGAATTTTTTTTTTTTTTTTTATTTAAAATTTTTTTTTCTTCAGATTTTTAAGAAATATTGCAGCAAGGGGAAAAACGTATCGGCAAAGCAGAGCAGGTGAAAAGCGAGATCTAGATATTTTGTGCTCTAGGTTTTTGTAACTTGATCAGCCATTTAAGGACAAAATTACTTGCAATTATATGAATAGAACTATTATATACTAAAAAAAAGAAATTATTATTTTCCGATCATCAAGATAAAAGCATATGTAGAGTAGATTCATGCCGTAGACTAGCTTCTTGATTCACCACCGAACGAATGTGAAATTGCACAAAAAATATCAAAAAAATCTTATATTTCTTATACATTTTTATCCTTTCGTGATCTGATTTCAATTTTATTTATTGTAAGTTTGCCGCAGGCTTCACGAACTGAATCCATGCGATTTTAAAACTGATCAGACAAAAATTTTACCAAGACGTCTGGCGTATTTCTCTGCTCTTCGTTGTAACTGTGGTAAAATAAAAAGCTTCCATATATACGCTCTGAAGAATATTTAGTAAAACATTTATCAATAAAATCAAATGACTAGAAAAGATTAAGAAAGAAAATTCATTCCATTAAAATACACTTACAATTCAAGGGTTTTAAACATTTGTGGGATTTTCATTCCGCAAATTCAATACTTCAAAAGCATCAAGGAAACTCAAGTAGTTTAAACTAGGAATATACGATGATAGTATCATACCACAACAATTCAAAATGCGTTTGTAAATCAAGCGCTGAAAGTTCTAATCCATCCGGATCTTGCAAATCTAAATTATAAAGACTCTTAAAAAATCTCGCCGTGAAAGACGACGGCTGACGCATGGCTTTCAAGACGGCCATTGACATCGCGACGCCGCAGGTTCAGCTGTCAACAATGGAACCCTTAAATTGGGTGAGACATGCAAGTGTGTACGTTTAAGATCATAGTATGTCAAATAAATCCACTACCACCACCACTACCACCACCACTACCACCACCACTACCACCGCCACTACCACCGCCACTACCACCGCCACTACCACCGCCACTACGAAACTCGTGAATAAAAAATTTGGATAAAGAAAGTTGCCTTGCCTTGCATATTTTGGGTTTTAAAAAAATCACCAATAAATGGGGGAGGGGGTGGATGTTAAATCAGACACAATTTATTAAAATACCCTAACATTTTTCGAAGCGTACACGTGCTTTTCTTATCATCAACTTCAAAACAAAAACTACTAATTAATTAATATAAGCGGTATCAGACATAATCTTTATGATTTCAAATGGAAATTTGCTTTATTTTCTTTCACCAGGACCAAATAAAGAGTTCTTCAAATAATGCACGGCTATTTCTTTATGAGATAACGTTATCCATTAAGTTCTTTCTTGACGGCTTAAAGTGTCTAATGCCAGGGCCCAGTTGTTCAAAGCCCGATTAGTACTAATCCTGGGTTAACTCTTAATAAGACCTATAGAGTTAATCCTGGATTAGCGCTAATTCAGCTTTGAACAACCCGGCCCTGATTACAGACCAACTTAGAACAAATCCTTACATTATCATAAACGCGTTTTCTTTCTTTCTTTCTTTCTTTTCTTTTCTTTTCTTTTCTTTTTTTTCTTTTTTTTTTTTTTTTTTNCGCGTTCGAGGAGCCTGAAAAATTGTATAGACTTACGTCATCGGGGTGATACACCAATTTTTTCGTGGTTCAAGAGTGCTGTTTTTAAAAGTTTTAAGAAAGAAAAAATGCCGAAATATTGAGCTTTGACTTATTGTACGAGTGAATCAACTTGGAAGAATGCGCAAGTCTTACACTTTTGGAACGTATCGCCCCGATGACGTAATCGCACCAGTCCCCCGCACGCGCGGTCCTTATATGAAAGGGCGCGTTTTCAAAACTCATTTAAAAATCAGGAATGCATCCGATTTCGATAAATTTTTGGATTTGAGCATTTTCATGAATATATCTTCAACTTACATAAGGTCTGTGATTAGACATTAGGGGCACTCTAACGAATGAGAAAATAACAAGTTAAGTAATGGCATAAAGAATGGCGGAAAAGGTCTGCTTACATCGTTTGAACGATTCACACTTCGTAAAACAGTAGACTGAAATTTGGTAAGCAAAATTTAAATCATTAAAAAAATAAAAAAAAAAATTTAAAAAAATTAGAATTTTTTTAAAAAAAAAAAAGAAAGAAAAAATGTCCACGAGGTGTTTAATGTAATGATATTATTAAACTGAAGCTTACATCGATAGAACGATTCACACTTCGTAAAACAGTAGAATGAAATTTGGTAAGCAAAATTTAAATCATTAAAAAAATAAAAAAAAAAATTTAAAAAAATTAGAATTTTTTTAAAAAAAAAGAAGAAAGAAAAAATGTCCACGAGGTGGTTCATGTAATTTGATTTTTAAACGATTTCCAATTACTTTAACACGCATTCTTCGTTTGCACGTTACGTCATCACGGCCATTTTGGTACCATTTAACGAAAGATTTCTCATTAGCATCCATTGTTAACGGTACCAGGATGGCCGCCATGCTTTTGTCTTTTAACTCGGTTGGGAATGCTTGCAACCCATCCAATACCGCAAGCTTCCAAGCTATCATTGTATTCTCACTTTTAATTTTTATACGAAATGGAATTCCTTTCAACCTGTGCGATGCACACGGTAATCTTTGTTTCTTTTGTCTCCCATTAAAAATACCTTCTTTATGACCTTGGCTGGTTTTACGTAACTAATTACACCGAGCTGATTAGATGGTTAGCTCAATGACCACACGTTAAGGAATATTTGCTAAGCCGGCTACTTTTTAAAAACCAATTGCTTTCTCTCTTGATATTTATGAAAAGGCAGGAGTGCTGCTTTATTTCTTAGTAGGCTGAAATTCGCCAATTAGTTGTTTTTCCAGTCGTCTAGCTCTCAGCTAAAGCAGAAATTCATTCGTATATTTAGCAATTTAGTATAAGTTCTAATCTAATGGATTTAATTTATATCTCGTTATATGCCGTTCATGATATTCATTTGATTAAAAATCAACTTATACTCTGCTCTATATAATTTATAAAAAACCATTAAGAATCAAATTATATTGAAGCTGAAGTCGACATCATTAAAATTGAATGAAGCTATCCATATTAACTAATGAATATAAAATAGATAAATATTATGAATAAGGATTTCTGTTTAACCAGGTTACCGTTAACCGTTATTGCAAATAGTTTCATGCATCTAAAAATATGTTACATCGTATTATGATGCTAGATCGATACTTTTATACACCTACTTGCAAAAACATTGTCATGCGATATTAGAACATTAGTAATTTAGTGAGAAAGGAATACATTAAAAGACAAAAGAAAAAGTTAAGCTTCAGTGATCTTGGTTTGTTTTTTAATATAATTCCTATCCCACTAAATCACTAATGTTTTATTTTCGTATGACAACGTTCTTGCAAGTAGGTGTATGTCTGTGCTTACTTACTTCAAAATTCGTGTTCAAATTTCTTCGCGTTTCCAACGAGAGATAATTGCTTCCAAACGAAACTTCCTTGTTGATTGAATCTGCAAGAAAATATCTTGTTTGAATATAACACACTCGATAAAAGTATTCTTGCATTTCATTTAATGTGAGGGGGTGGAATCGACGAGAATGACTAAGATATGTTTTTGTTTTTTTTCCCAGCACGTACGTCTGCCACACGGCAACGCCCAGCTATACTTACCTAGGTTATCCTTGTCGGTACAATAGTTTCTAGACATAATGTATAAATCTCTCAAACTCCCGTCTTTATTTTCATTGTGTTTCATCGGTACTGGTAGTATAGTGGTTTGCGGCTAGGGAGGGAATTGAATTCTACACAATATCGAAGCTCGCCTAAACAAAAGTTGTCACTTCAATAATTATTAAGAAACTAAACTTGGTCTAAGATGTTTGCGAGTAAAAACTATCCGAATTCCTATTGGTTGGAATCTAACGATAGGAGGAGCTTGATACAGCCAATAATCTTCATCGCTTGCGTACACTTCTATACATTCCAGAATCTAGGAAGTTTATGTAAAAATTTCCGAATTCTGATTGACATGAATCGAACGGTGTAAGAGGAGCTTGTTACATTTATCTTTCTTGCTTCTTTCTTCGTTGGTATAACTTAGGAATGCTATGATGGTTAAGTTCATTGAAAACGAATCTAAACAAGCCGCCTCGTAGGAAACAAACTAGTCAAAACAACCAAAAATAACCCCAAACAATTTTAGACACAACGAGTGAAGATCGTCTATTCGACATAAAAGGTTATTATAGTTTTTTAAGTGTAAGGTGATCAGGTGTCCATGGACTGTTTTATTCTCTCGCATAATGATGTTTCTTATTGGAAGCCTAAATTAATAAAATGGTCAACCCTCAAGCAATTATTAAGTTGCGACAGGTGATATCAGTCAAAAAATTCTAATCTATATTCCTGTCTGAAAAAATAATTATTTAAGATAAGGGTAATTTATCCAGACACGTTATAGATCTAACAACTATTTTGGTTGATTTTGCAAATATCAAATTGTTGTGATAAATTATCAAAAAGAATGTATGTTAGCTATCCACTTACCTACCTACCTACCTACCTACCTACCTACCT